TGCCATCTATACAGTGCCATTGATTTAAACAAAGTGGCACATCACATGTTCCTGCGAACATCCCACCCACCCACCCTGAATTTGGTTTGCAAAACACATGCGGTGGCGATTGCGATGAACGCTTGACGTTGGCTGGTCCACCTCTGCGGCCGCGCCAACCCAAGCACGCGCGCGCAGCGGCCAGCTAGTTTGGTGCGAACGACGCGGCCGCGGTGGCGCTGATCGCTGGGCACATCCCACTGGCACTCCACTGCCAATCGGCGACTCGGGCGGGCGCGGCATCATGGCAACGTCGACAACAGTAGACACGATGATGATAGTAGCGATGCTGGTGGCGATGTTGACAACGACGACGGCGCGGCCAGTGCGGGCGCCGATGCCGATCACGCTGACGACGATGACGGCGTCCTCGCGTCGGTGATGAAGGATTTGGAAGGAGTTCGACATGCGCTCGCGGCCGACGCGCGAGGGTGGCCCGCAGGGCATTTTGTTGACACGGATCGTGCCCCCCCCCCCAGCACGCGCGCAAGGGCTTGCGAATGATGTCGGCATGCGGCGCCATAGGCCCGGGTGGCAGAATTCCATCAAAATGTTGAAAGGCCGATGGTTGTCTTGAGAATTTGCGAAGGCGACAGCGCACGGTTCTTTGAAAACTAATGTTGCGAAACATGTGTTTTATGTGTTTGTTTGGACACTCGGTTGTGGCATCCTCACGAAACTACAAAGTGTTTCACGGATTGCTGCATGCGCGCGCGACGACGCGCGCACATGCACTTCGTTTCATTTGTTGCAAAAGATCCTCGCGACGGAACGCGCGCAAGGGCGTTCGAACGATTTCGACTTGCGCGCAAAAAGCCCGTTTGGCCAGATTTTCTGAACATTGTGAAAACCAATGGTTTTCTTCAAGAACTCGCAAAAGAGCGTGCGCAAGTTTTTGTTTGAAAATTCGTGTTGCGAAACCGTTGTGTTTATATGATGTTTGGACACTCGAGCTTGACATCCTTGCGAAACCGTCGGTGTTTGAAAGATTCCGGCATGCGCGCGCGACGACGCGCGCGTCCGCAGGTCGTCTCATGGTTTGCAAGGGTCTGTTGAAAAACTTATGACGGTTGACAAACGAGTGCGCGCACAGCACGTTTTGCAGAGGATGGCGGGGGGGGCGATACTGGTTGGGCTGGGATGATATGGGTTCATATGTAGGATGAACGACGGGGCAGAACCATATGCAAATTACCATACGAAAAAGGAACGGATAATCCCAGGGGCGGCAACCTATGTAGTGCAACCTACGCAGTGCAATCCACTCTGCTGAACTTGAAGTCGTCATCTCCACTGCTCGCGCAAACATCCCACCCACCCACCCGCAACTTGGTTTGCAAAACCTGTTAAGACCGACTACGACGACACCGACGACAACGACTAGGACGACACCGACGACGTTTCCGACGACTTCGACGACGACAACGACGCCGACGACGACGACGACGACGACGCCAACGAACGCGACGACGAGGGAGGAGGAAGGACGACGACGGCGACAACGACGACAACGACGACAACGACGAGGGAGGAGGGAGGACGGCGACGACGCGAACGACGACGAAGGAGGAAGGACGGCGACGCCGACGACGGCAACGACGAGGGAGGAGGGAAGACGACGACGACGACGACGACGACGACGACGGCGACGAAATAGGAGGGACGACGACGAGACGCCGACGACGGACGACGACGACGACGAGGGAGGAGGAGGAAGGACGACCACGGCGACAACGACGACGGAAACGACCACGACGCCAAAGAGGACGACGACGACGAACACGAGAAAAGACAGAGGACGACGTAGGCGACGACGACGACGACGCGGGAGGAGGGAGGACGGCGACGACGACGACGACGACGACGCAAGAGCGCGCGCGCACGCTTTTGTTGAAAATCCGTGTTGCGAAACCTTGGGTTTTTGTAGGTTTTTTGGACGCGCGATTTCGAAATCCTTCCGAAACCGATGGGTTTTGAAGGTTTTCGGCATACGCCCGCGACGACGCGCGCGTCTGCACTTCGTCCCATTTGTTGCAGAGGATTCTCGCGACGGCACACGCGCAAGGACGTTCGGCAGATTTCGACATGCGCGCGCGCGAAGCCCGTTTGGTAGCATGTTGTGGAAATCTTGAAAAACCGATGGTTTCCTGAAGAATTCGCAAGAGCTCGCGCGGAAGTTTTTCTAGCAAATCAGTGTTGCGAAACCATGTATTTTTGAATGTTTTTTGGGAAACTCGGTTGCGAAATCCTTCTGGCACCGAAGGTTTTTGAAGGATTTCGGCATGCGCGCGCGACGACGCGCGCGTGTGCACTTCGTCCCATGTTTTGCAAGGGATTCGTGCAAAAATGTTATGTTACAAAGAAAAATGTCCCCGCATAGTGTTATTTGACACGGAACCGCAGGGGGGGGGATACCGGCTTGGCTGGGATGGTACGAATTCATATTTAGGATGGACATGTGGTCAGAATCATATGTGATTTACAGCACGCGCGGGGGACCCGATAAGTCCGGGGGGGGGGGGGGTAGAATCTATTAGTCTTTTAGAAAGGAGAATACATGTGGTGCAACCTGCGTGGTGCAATTAGTTTGCGAGCTGTCAACTCCACTGCTCGCGCAATCACCCCACACACCCACCCGCAACTTGGCTTGCAAAACACATGCGATGGCGATTGCGATGAACGCTTGACGTTGGCTGGTCCAGCTCTGCGGCCGCGCCAATCCAAGCACGCGCGCGCAGCGACCAGCTAGTTTGGCCCGACCGACGCGGCCACGGTGGTGCTGATCGCTGGGCTCATCCCGCTGGCACTCCACTGCGAATCGGCGACTTAGGCGGGCGCGGTATCATGGCAACGTCGACAACAGTAGACACGATGATGATAGTAGCGATGCTGGTGACGATGTTGACAGCGACGACGGCGCGGCCAGTGCGGGCGCCGATGCTGATCACGCCGACGACGATGACGGCGTCATCGCGTCGGTGACGAAGGCTCTGGAAGGAGATCGCCATGCGCGCGCGGCCGACGCGCGAAAACGGCCCGCATGGCATTTTGTTGACACGGATCGTGCCCCCCCAGCACGCGCGCAAGGGCTTGCGAATGATGCCGGCATGCCGCGCCAGAGGCACGTTTGGCAGAATGCCATGGAAATGTTGAGAAACAGATGGTTTTCTTAAAAATTCGCAAGAGCACGAACGCACGCTCTTTTGAAAACTGGCTGCCTTTTTGGACACTCGATTTTGAAATCCTGATTCTGGCAAAAGATTGGCGGGGTGGCCGATACCGGCTCGGCTGGGATGGTATGAACTCATGATTAAGATGCACGACGGGCCAGAATCTGATGTAAATTGCAAACCCCCAGGGGGTACCAAGAAGTCCGGCCTCGGGAGGGTGGTGGAGTCTAGCGGCACCGCCCGCAAAAGCCGCCACTCGCCCCGAGCGGCGGCGACGGCGACGGCGACGGCGGCGGCGGGCGACACTGCCCGCAAAAGCTGCCACTCGCCCAAAGCGGCGGCGACGGCGACGGCGACGGCGGCGACGGGCGGCACGACGACGAGAAGCCGGCACTGGTCCCCAGATGGTTAAGACAAGTAAGAACCCCACAGTACAAGCACTGTGTGGTTAAATATGGAGAGGGAGAATTCCCCGTGATTCGACGCATCCATCGTGGGCGAAACGTACGAGGGGCGACAGCGGGTGCCATCTCGGCACGTCGTCGCTGTCGCCGTCGTCACGTTGTCGGCTCTTCCCGCCAACCACCCCCTCGTCGATCCGCCCCACCCCCATTGCTCCATCCTTACCACACCCTTCAAGCAGCGCTGCGAGCTGTGGGAGGGGCAGGAGGTGGAGGAGGCCGGTGGCGAAAAACACATCGGCCGCTGGAGTCCAGCCTCCATGCGCGATGTACCAAGCCCGCTTCCCTGAGCGGGCCTCGTCATCTGCCCATTCTCTCTATCTCTTCACTCCTCCCATATACCTCCCCCCCACGCACACGACTGAGCCCCACCTCTGCATCCAATGCTACAGGCATCAAGGATGGGGACAATCGAGGGGGAGGAATGGAGTAGGGGAATAGTCGAAGCCAAGCTCAGCCTGCGAGGGGCTCTTCCGCTGCCAGGCCGATATGACGCGAGAAAGGCTGAATATAGCGCTTGCTGCCCGCGCAACTTGGGACGCCCATCGGGCGCCTCGGACCCGGCGGACATGAAGTCTTCCCTGGCCCCCCCGACCCCTTCCGTGCCCCATGTATCCACGCCCTCCAGTACTTGCAACGTCGGGTGGCCGCCGTCGCAGCATAGGATGGGCAGATCGGGAAAGGGCGCCAAAAAGGGATGGATGGTGGATGGGAGGATGGAGGCCTGGTCAAGCCCGAAGTATTCGGACTGCCCACAAATGCCGTCGTAACGGCAGCTGTCTTGACAATCGCAAGTTCGACGATGACTGGCACGGGCCAGTCCCTGCTGCTTCCCGTAGTCCTCATACCCTCCTCTCCCCCAACCCCCAAAGAAGTGCCTTGTCATCAAAAGCTGGACACACAGCATCGCAGATGCAGGGTCGACAGAAGTTCGGGGAAAGGTCGATAAGCAGAGACGCTCGTGCTGGAGGTTACGGGCAGGCTCAATCACCGCATCTTGTGCACATGAGCGGGGTGTGCGATTTTCTCAGGTTGTGCACCAACCTCAGCACGTCTCAGCCTTCCCCCCACACCGGACGGAAAACACGCTTTCTGGGTGCAGTCGGCCTGGCCACAGCGGAGGCGATGCCCGAAGGCGCGGCCCCGGCGGCGCGCGCCCCCCTCCCGCGCTGGCGCTTGTGCCCTCGCCGTCGCTCGGACGCCCGCTGCCCCGTGCACGCTTCGGCCTCGTGCGACCCCCGGTTCCGCAGGCTGCTCCTCGGCGACCCTCGCCGAAAACGAGAGGGCGCACGCCCGAGCGATGCCGAGGGCCCCAGGCGGGAGGGCGCGCCGCTCGGTCTCGTCCAGCAGCATCTGGTTGGAGGCGCGCACCAGCACCGAGACGCAGCCCCCGTGGCTGCTCAGAAGGCCTGGGGGGTCCGTCGCCCTCTGGAGCTGTGGGTGCCAGGGCAAGGGACACTTCTGACAGCCCTACCATTGAATTATTAAATCGTACAGAACATGTTCCAAACACTTGTCTTCGGTGTGGATTGAACATGTGCTAGACATCTGGGAGTTATTTGACAACATGCATCCTATCCAATGATCGTCTTCCACGACTCTACAGAAAGGAAAACTGCATAAGCATAAGCTTTTGAAGCTCCGCGCGGATTTCTTGGATCGGCGCTGACCCACCTCTGGCGGCGCCTCCAGCGCCGCCCCTGGCGCGCTCCGCGTGTCAGGGAGAGGGTCCAGATGCAAGAAATCAGCGCGGACCTCCGAAATATTCCCACCAGCCCTTTAGGGCGTAGGCGGTCTAGAGAGCTTTCTCTCCCAACATCCTTCTTCCCCTTCGGGGAGGGTTTTTACCCCTCCGCCTACCCCCTCCACTGGAGGACTTGGAGGGGGGGTCCGCGAGGCGTTGGAGCGTCAAAGATGGCCCAAGACGGCTCCAAGAGGGTCTGGGAGAGCCCACGATGACCTCCAAGATGGCTCCGATGGCCCCAAGAGGCCATCCAGGGCTCCCAAGATGGCCTTAAGAGTGCCCCAATACCCCCCAGAAGATCCCCAAAAGGGCACCAAGACCCCCCAAAGAGGGTCCAGGGGGGGCCCCGAAGAAGCTCCAAGAGAAAGCCAAAAGGGCCTCATCAAGAGGACCCCAAGATGGCTGCCGGAGTCCATCCCTCCTCCTCCTCCTCCTCCTCCTCCTCCTCCTCCTCCTCCTCCTCCTCCTCCTCCTCCTCCTCATCATCATCATCATCATCATTCCTCATCTTATCATCATCATATCGCATCATCATCATCATCCTCATCATCATCATCTATCATCATCATCATCATCATCATCATCATCATCATCATTCATCATCATCATCATCTTCAATCATTCATCATCATCATCATCATCATTCATCATCATCATCATCATCATATCTATTCATCTTTCAACATCATCATCATCATCATCATCATCATCATCATCATCATCATCATCATCATCATCATCATCATCATCATCATCATCATCATCATCATCATCATCATCATCATCATCATCATCATCATCATCATCATCATCATCATCATCATCATCCTTTTCCTCCTCCCTCTCCTCCCCCTCGTTCTCGATATCTTCCTTGGAGAGAGCGTGATCCACCGCCGCTTTACTGTGGAAAATTCCCCCCCCTCTTCCTCAGGAACCCGGGGGTCCCCTTTCCCCGCAAAACCCCCCCCTCCTTACCCCCCCTCCGGAAATCGAAAGTCACTACCGGTTCGAACCCCCTCCCCCCTCCGGAAAAACGGAAGGGGGTCACTACCAGTTCGAAACCCCTCCCCCCCCCCCAAAAAAAAAAAAAAACGGGATCACTACTTGTTCGACCCCCCCCCCCCTCCGAAAAGGGGGGGAGGTCACTACAGTTCGAATCCCCCCCCCCTCGAAAACTGGGGGGGGGGTCACTACCAGTTCGAACCCCCCCTCCCCCCCCTCGAAAACCGAGTGGGGGTCACTACCGGTTCGAACCCCTCCCCCCCCACCCCACGCTCACCGCCAGCAAACAACTCTGAGTCCCTACCACCGTCCGCACCACATCCCCCACTGCTGTCCACAGCACCGCTGTCCTCACCACCAGTCCCCACTGGTCCCACCACCGTCACCACTGTCCTCACCAGTGCCCCCACCACTGTCGCACTGTCCCCAGTCCCCACCACTGTTCCCACCACGGTTCCACTCCCCACTTTCTCCACGGCCCCAACCACTGTCCCACTGTCCCCACTATCCCACTGTCCCACTGTCCCCGCCGCTGTCCCAGTGAGCTGTCCCACTGTTCCCACCACTGTCCCCACTGTCCCCACCACTGTCCCTACTGCACCTCTGTCCCATTATCCCACCGCCATCCTCGCCACCGCCCTCACCACTGTCGCCACCACCACTGTACCCTCCACTGTCCCACTGTTTCCAGCACATTCCCACTGTCCACACACCACTGTCCCCACCACCACCGTCCCAACCACTGTCCCACAGTCTCCACTTTTCCCACCATTGTCCCCGCTGTCCCCACCAGTGCCCCCACCAGTGTCTCACTGTCCCCACTCTCCCCGCCACTGTCCCACCACAATCCTACTCCCCCCACTTACCCCACGGTCCCCACTACTGTCCCAGTCCCCACTGTTCCCACCACTGTCCCACTGTCCCCGCCGTTGTCCCACTGTGCTGTCCCACCGTCCCCACTGTCCCCATCACTGTCCCTCTGTCCCCGCTGTCCCCACCATTTTCCCCACTGTACTACTGTCCCACCACTATCCTGACCACCGCCTTCACCACTGTCCAAACCACTACCGTCCCCACCACTGTCCCACTGTCCCCACCACTGTCCCGCTGTCCCCTCACCAGTGTCCCCACCACCACCGTCCCCACCACTGTCCGCACCATTGTCCCAGTCCCCCCACCAGTCCCCACCTCCACCGTTCCCACCACTGTCCCGACATCCCCACCATTCTCCAACTGTCCCGAGGAGCGGGCACCGTTTGCCGGCGGCGAGGGGGGGGGAGGGGGTTCGAACCGGTGATAACCCCCCCCCGGGTTTTCGAGGGGGGGGGGGATGGGTTAGGAACCTCCAGTGACCCCCCCCGGTTCCTCCTCTTCCTCACTGTCCTCCTCCTCCTCCTCCTCCTCCTCCTCCTCGTCCTCTTCCTCCTCCTCATCCTCCTCCTCTTTCTCATCGTTCCCGTGCTCATCATCCTGTTCATTATCCTTCTCGTCATCTTCCTTCTCCTCCTCCTGCTCCTCCTCCTCCTCATCATCGTCATCATCCTGCTCCTCCTCTGTCCTCGGTGGGCAGATATTCCACTGCACGCTTCTACGCTGACCTGAAGAAGGCAATTCGCCTGAGCATCGCTCCAGGATCTCTTCCACCCGTTCCCCGTCGTCGCATCGGCAGCGGTTCTGGATGTGATGATAGAGATGCGCGAAGCGTGAAGAAATTTGCGTATGCCATGACTTTGTTCCCTGGTCCTCCTGCTGCTCCTCCACTGATAGCCGCCGCCGCGGCCATCGCTACCGCCACCGCCAATGCAGCTGCCACCTCAGCTTCCGCTCATCATTCTTGACCTCTTGCTCCTACTCTTCCTCCCCCTTGCCGTACTGACCATCACCGTCGCCGTCAGCATCATCGTCATGAAAATCCCCATGAGCCAGGGCCAGCATAATCGCCCCTGTCGTTTGCGTCATTGTCACCATCGCCGTGGCAACTGGCATCCTTCTCCTCCTCTTCCTCCCCCCCTCTTCCTCCTCCGCCTCCTCGTCCTCCCCCTCCAGGTCCTCATCCTTTCATCATCATCATCATCATCATCATCATCATCATCATCATCATCATCATCATCATCATCATCATCATCATCATCGTCATCGTCATCGTCATCGTCATCGTCATCGTCATCAGCAGCAGCATCAGCAGCAGCAGCATCAGCAGCAGCATCAGCAGCAGCATCATCAGCATCATCATAATGATAATAATCATCAGCAGCAGCAGCAGCAGCAGCATCAGCATCATCAGCATCAGCATCGCCATCATGATCATCATCATGATCATCAGCAGCAGCATCATCATCATAAGCATCATCATCACCTTCATTATAATCGTCGTCGTCATCATCGTCGTCATCGTCATCATCATAATCATCATGATCAGCAAAATAATGTTCAGTATCATCCTGTTTGCGGTCGTCGTCATGCTGGCCATCATCGTCAAACCAGAACCATCGTAATGTAGCCATCAGCATCATCACCAGCAGCAGCATCATCCTGATCCTCATCATCCTCCTCCTCCGCATCCTCCTCATCATCATCATCAGCAGCACCATCATCATCATCATCATCATCATCATCACCATCATCATCATCATCATCATCATCATCATCATCATCATCATCACCTTCATCATCATCAGAATCAGCAGCATCATCATCAGTATCATCATCAGTATCATCATCATCATCATCATCATCAGCATCATCATCATCATCATCATCATCATCATCATCATCATCATCATCATCATCATCATCATCATCATCATCATCATCATTATTAGCAGCAGCAGCAGCAGCAGCATCACAGTCCTCGTGATCGTTGTCGTCGTCGTCACAATGATCATAAGCATAATGATCATCAACATCCCCATCGTCATGTCTTCATCAGCACCCGGATCAGCAGCACCATTTTAATCAGAATCATCAGGATACAAGCAGTACCATGATCATCATTAGCATATCATCATCTGTATCATCACCGTCGTCATCGTCGTCATCATCACCACCACCATCAGCAGCAGCATCGTCGTCATCATCAGCATCATCATCCTAAGCAGCAGCATCATCACCGCCACAATCATCCGCATGACTACAATCCTCATCTGGATCTTCAACCTCATCCTCATCCTCATCATCATCAGAATCAGCATCATCATCAGCATCAGCATCAGCACCAGCATCAGCAGCAGCATCAGCAGCATCATCATCATCATCAGAGTCATCAGAGTCATCGTAGTTGACCTCCGAATCGGCGACGGTATTGTTACAAACAGTGCCACCCCCTTCCCCTTCTCATCCTACGCATCCTCCGCGTACGTACACACATGCACTTCCGCAAATGGCGACAAACGAATCACTAACGAACTAACGAACAAAACAAAACACGATCCTTGGAAAGAACTTAACCATATTCCAGGCCTGCATATCGCAAGGCAGGTGAGGCGAAGGAAGGGGAGCTCCCTATGGGGTCACGAAGCGTGTGAGAGGTATGCCGAAATAGACGGGCGGCTGCATGAGGACGCAGCCGGAGGGGCCTCGGGTGGAGCTCCCTATGGGGCCACGAAGCGCGTGAGAGGTGTGCCGAAATACAAGGGCGGCCACATATGGACGCACCCAGTTGGGCCTCAAGGTGGGGCTCCCTGTGGGGCCGCGAACCATGTGAGTGGCGCGCCGAGAAGGGTGGGGCCGGGCCACGTGTGGACGCACCCGCTGGGGGCCTCAGGTGGAGCCCCGAGCGGAACCACGAAACGCGCGAGAAGCGTGCCGAGACGACTGGGGCGGCCGCATGTGGCCCACACCCCCTGGCGCCTTGGGTGGAGCTCCCTATGGAGTCACGAAGCGTGGGAGGGCATGGGCATACTGAAAGCCAGGGGAGAGAGGGAGGGGGAGGAGGAGGAGGAGGAGGCGGAGGAGGAGGAGGAGGAGGAGGAGGGGGAGGAGGAGGAGGAGGAGGTGAGTAAGGAGGAGGAGGAAGGGAGGAGGCGTCGAGAGATGTGGAGGAGGCCGAGGGGAGGCGGCTGGAGGAGCCGAGGGCGCGGGCCCTGTCAGCTCAAATGCCGCGCGGCGGCCGCCGTGTGGGAGTGTTTTTTTTTTTTTTTTTTGTTTTTTTTGTGTGTGGAGTGCTGCTCTCCAAGCCTGTGAACCGGACGATGCTTCCGAGGTCGTCGTTGAGCTTCTGGTCCTGGACGAGGCTCACCTGGCCGGCGGCAGCGGCCCGCACCCCCAGGAGCGGAGGCTGGGGAGGGCCCCCCAGGGGGCGGGGAGGGCCGCCCCCCCCGCGGCTGCTGGTGCTGCGCCGCGGCCCCTCGGGGCTGCGCACCTCCTCTCGCTTTGAAGGGCCCTCTCTGACTTCGGGCGCCCCTCGGCTCGCAACAGCCTGGAGTTGGCCGAGGTTGCCCAGATCTGCCTCGATGTGTCTGCAAGTTCCTCGAACTATCGGGCTTGATCCCCGCGAGCCGATGGGCGAAAAGTCGCCAAGCCCTTGAGGACCCTCCTCCTCCTCCTCCTCCTCCTCCTCCTCCTTATTATTATTCCTCGCATTATTATTATTATTCCTATTATTACTATTATTATTCTTATTATTATTAATAATAATACCAGTATTATCAGTATTATTATTATTAGTATTATTATTATTAATATTAGTATTATTGTTATTATTGTTATTAATATTATTATTAGTAGTATTATTAGTATTATTAATATTATTAGCATTAGTATTATTTTTATTATTAATAGTATTATTAATAGTATTAGTATTATTATTATTATTATTATAATTATTATTATTATTATTGATATTATTAGTATTACTATTGTTGTTGTTATTCTCATTAGTATTATTAATACTCTTATTCATATTATTAGTAGTAGTAGTAGTATTAGCATAATTAATATGATTATTATTGTTCGTATGTTTGTTATTAATGATCGTCGTCGCGTTAGTCTTCTTATTCGTATTATTATTCTTATTCGTACTAGTATTGTTAATACTAGTATTAGTATCATTATTATTAGTTTTCTTATTATTATTGCTATTAGTATTATTAACATTCGTATTACTAGTAGTATTATTATTCGTCTTCTTATTAGTGTTCTTATCATTATTAATATTATTATCGTATTATTATGTTTCTTCTTATTATTACTTGTATGCTTATTATTAGTAGTCCTCTTCATCTTATTCCTCTTCTTATTCCTCTTCTTCTTCCTCTTCTTCTCCTTCTTCCTCCTCCTCCTCTGTCTCATATATTCCCTTGAATCCCACCAGCCCTCTGGGCATACGTGGTCTAGAGAGTTTCTGTTCCAGCCCCGTTCTTCCCCTTCGGGGAGGGTTTACCCCTCCTCCTACATCCTCCCACGGACCTGGAGAAGGGGGGGTCGCGATGTCAGAGGATCCTTCTGGGCCCAAGATGGCTCCACGAGCGCCTCAGAGAGGCCAAGATGACCTCCAAGATGGCTCAAGATAGCCCAAGCTGGGTCAACATGGTTTCCAATATGCTCCAAGAGGCTCCAAGACCATTCTAAGACGGCTGCAAGTTGCCACGGAGACTTCCACGGATGGATCGCCCCCCCCCCCCCCCCCCCCCCCCCCCCCCCTTTATCCCTCCCCCCCCCCCCAACACCCCCCCCCCCCCCCCCCCCCCACTTCCCCCCCCCCCCCCACCACCCAAAACCCCCCCCCCCCCCCCCCCCCAACCCCCCCCCCCCCCCCCCCCCCCCCCCCCCCCCCCCCCCCCCCCCCCCCACCCCCCCCCCCCCCCCCCCCCCCCCCCCCCCCCTCCCCCACCCCCCCCCCCCCCCCCCCCCCCCCCCCCCCCCCCCCCCCCCCCCCCCCCCCTCCCACCCTACCCCCCCCCCCCCCCCACCCCCCCCCCCCCCCCCCCCCCCCCCCCCCCCCGCGCCCCCCCCCCTGAATCCATCTTACAAGGCGTTGCCTTCTCGCCTTTTTGTTTTCGCATGGCTTCCGAGGCTCAATATGGCCCAGAGGAACCCGTGTTGCGAGACAATCTCCAGCGAGAGCGCGTCTGCAGAGCCGCCGGAGAGCGATTCTGAAAAATTGCAAGGAGGTCCCAAGCGAGAGCGCGATTCCTGAATAAAATGCGAGGAAGTCTCGGGCAGGGGCAGGGTCCTGGCTAAATTGTAAGGAAGTCTCAGGCGGGAGCCGTTGTTGTTGTAACCCGGGGGCCAGGGGCCCAGTTTGAGCATCAAGACTTTCCCTGTCAAAAAACAGGGTGCGAGCGTCGAGGGGCACACTTTGATTCAGAAAAATCAGTAAGCACTGGTGGGGGGGGATCAACAATACTTATTCTTTAGACATGAGAAGCCAACAACAACAACAACAACAACAACAACAACAACAACAACAACAATTACTAGCACGTGGGGACACTCCGTTCTCACCAGTGCCAGGGTTTTCATAGGAGGCGGGCAATACCCCCACTTTGTGGGGGGGCCGGTTTAAGCTCTACCAAATTTCCAAACGACTCTTCGCCACCACCCACACCCAGCTTCCCGCCCTATGACGTTCGGGCACTTCACTTCGTGGCATGCGGACGACCGTGGCTACTATTCAGGGCCCCGCGGCCGACGACGACGGCGTGCGCGCGCGAAGAAAAAACGAATGTGTCCCGCATGGTATTATTTGACAGGGATGATGGCCCTGGCAGGTGCGCAACCGTTGTCGCAGAAGTTCGATATAGTTGCTCGCAAAAGCCCGTTTGACAGAAATGTTTAAAAAGTGTTGGGTTTCCTACGAATCCGCAAGAGCGCGCGGGATGAGTTTTTGACATTTTTTTGTTGAAAAACCATTGGTTTTTTGATGTTTTTATGTTAAAATCGCTCCGAACACTAAGCTTTTGGAAGGATTTCGTCTTGCGCGCGCGAATGTCCACTTTACCTTATTTTTTGCAAGGGATTCTTGATATTTGATTATATTAGAACAAGAAATGTCATTTTCTATTGTTTTTTTGCAAGGGAAAGCGGATTACAACAAAACAACCGGATCCTGTACACACCCTCTTTTCTGAGGCTTCCTCACGAAAATGATGAAAATGTAGCTGCGGCCTAGGCGGCGCAGGGGGGGCGCGCACCAGGGGGACCAACAATAATTATTCTTTAGAATAAATAATGTTCAACAACAATCATTTAAGACTGGGGACACTCCGTTCTCACCAGTGCCAGGGTTTTCATAGGAGGCGGGCAATACCCCCACTTTGTGGGGGGGCCGGTTCAAGCTCTACCAAATTTCCAAACGACTCTTCGCCACCACCCACACCCAGCTTCCCGGCCTATGACGTTCGGACACTTCACTTCGTGGCATGCGGACGACCGTGGCTACTATTCAGGGCCCCGCGGCCGACGACGACGGCGTGCGCGCGCGAAGAAAATACGAATGTGTCCCGCATGGTATTATTTGACAGGGATGATGGCCCTGGCAGGTGCGCAACCGTTGTCGCAGAAGTTCGAAAAAGTTGCTCGCAAAAGCCCGTTTGACAGAAATGTTTAAAAAGTGTTGGTTTTCCTACGAATCCGCAAGAGCGCGCGGGATGAGATTTTGACATTTTTTTGTTGAAAAACCATTGGTGTTTTGATGTTTTTATGTTTAAATCGCTCCGAACACTAAGCTTTTGGAAGGATTTCGTCTTGCGCGCGCGAATGTCCACTTTACCATATTTTTTGCAAGGGATTCTTGAAATTTGATTATATTAGAACAAGAAATGTCATTTTCTATTGTTTTTTGCAAGGGAAAGCGGATTACAACAAAACAACCGGATCCTGTACACACCCTCTTTTCTGAGGCTTCCTCACGAAAATGATGAAAATGTAGCTGCGGCCTAGGCGGCGCAGGGGGGGCGCGCACCAGGGGGCCCAACAATAATTATTCTTTAGAATAAATAATGTTCAAAAACAACAACAACAACAACAACAACAACAACAACAACAACAACAACAACAACAACAACAACAACAACAACAACAACAAGAGCCGCAACAGAGCCCGCACGGCGGACCAGTCTCCTCGCCCTATTGCGAAGGCCAGACTCGAAACCCCGGGGCCGCAAATCGGCCCCCACCCCAGCAACCGGCAACCAGCAACCAGCAACCGGAGCTTAAGCTAAGCATAGCAATCACAAGGGACCCGTAGGTCATCTACACACCAAAAAAAAAAACTGCGGAATCCTCGAGGCAGCCCACGCATTCCCACGAGCTCAAACCATGCGCGCGCTACCGCAGCGACCTCGGAGCTGGATACTCAACTGTAGGAAAACCAGTCGGATCCTGAGGGATCCCTAGGACATCCTCAGGAGTCTTTAGGAGTCCCTGGGGAATCCTCATGACTCCCTACCAGATGCTTACTCCAAATTCCCCTATCAGAGCTTGCCTCTGTAACCTGTAGAGGTCCTAGCGCATTCATATGGTTAGTTTAGCTGCGCCGCCGATTTTGGCGGCCCGCCTGGGTGCCCAGGTGCCCGGGTGCCCGGGAGCTGCGGCGCCGATTTCGGCGGCCCTCCCAGGGGGCCCGGTGCCCAGGGGCCCCATAGCCCTATACCCATGTAGCCATGTAGCCCTATAGTCCTGTAGCCCTGCAGACCTACAGCCCTATAGCCATATAGCCCTATAGCCCTATAGCCCGATTGCCCAATAACCCTACAGCCCTATAGCCCTATAGCCCAATAGCCCTATAGCCTTATAGCCCTATAGCCCAATAGCCCTCTAGCCTTCTAGCCCTCTAGCCCTCTAGCCATCTAGCCCTCTCGCCCTATAGCCCTATAACCCTATATCCCGATAGCCCTATAGCTCCAACCCCCGTAGCCGTATAGCCCTATAGCCCCACAGCCCCCCCCAAAAAAAACGATTAGGGTTTCTTTCAGGCATCATGATTCTTTTAGAATTCCAAATAGATTCCAAAGAATTCCCTGGGGAGTCCTCCGGACTCCCTCAGGTTTCCTGGCGATTCCCTGATTATTCTGGAAGTTTCCCTGAGGATCCTGATGATTCCCTGGAGATTCCGAAAGATTCCCTGGGGATTCCACAAGATTCCTTGCGGATTCCGAAGGGGGCCCCAGGGATCCCAACGGATTCCCTCAGGATCTCTAGGATTCCGGAAGATTCCCCCGCATTCCAAAAAGATTCCGGATGCTTCCCTGAGGATGCCGAGGAATTCTCTCAGGATTCCTGGGGATCCCTCAAGGTTTCCAGTGGAACCCCTGACTTCCCCCCGAAGGATTCCTGAGGATTCCTGCAGGAGCCAGTGGGTTCCGGAAGGATTCCTTGGCAACGGCTTTGCGGACCCCCACAAGCAACCATCAACTCAGCAACCCCCCAAGGGGGCGCCGAAGGCCCCCCCCCCTGGAGGGGGTGCTCAGTTGCTGGCTGGTTTAAGAGAAGGAGGGGCTCCACGCCCGTCCCTCACCACCACCACCACTTCCACCACCACTTCCACCACCACTTCCACCACCACTCCACCACCACACACCACCACCACCACCAACAACAAACAACAACAACAACAACAAACAACAACAACAAACAACAAACAACATTCAACACACAACAACAATCATGTTAAGGACTGCTCGCCCTTAATGCTCGAGTGTCCAATAAGATATTTCCCAAACCCTCGATACCCGCCCTCTTCGTTTTTCGATCGCTTCGATCGAACCCCTTTTGGGGGGTATACCTTTCTTCCCTGAAGGCCGGGCCCCGGCAAGCGGCTGGGCGGCCGCGGACCGTCGGCCTGGCCAGCGGCAGCGCTGATCGGCGGGGCGGCCGCGGACCGTCGACCCGACCCCAAGAGGGACGGACAGGGGACCGACCACGACGACGACGACGACGACGACGACGACGACGACGACGACGACGACGTCGACGTCGAAGGCGACGGCGACGACGAGCGAAAGCGAGAGCGAGAGAGAACGACAGCAGGGCCACGAAGGGCACGAAGTAGGCCACGAAGGGCGACAGCGGGGACACGAAGGGAATGCGTATGCGGCCACGAAGATTGCGAATGAGCGGGGGCCACGAAGTGCAGATAATGCGGGGCCACAGAAAGCAACTATGGGGCCACTACGGGTAGCAACTGGGCCACGTAGGACAATGACGGGGACACACATGGCGACAGCGGGGCCACGAAGGGCATGCACATGGGGCCACAACGGGCGCGACTCCTGGGTGCCTGGATGTCGGGAGCGCGGCGCTTGGGCAAATTGCAGGAAATTCCAACGCAAGGCCATTCTTCAGTAATTTGCAAGCAAGTCTCCAGCGAGAGCGCGACTCCAGAGCGCCGGGAGAGCGACTCCTGCAAAAAATTGTAAGGAAGTCCCAAGCGAGAGCGCGATTCCTGAATAAAATGCAAGGAAATCTCGGGCGGGAGCGGGGGTCCTGCCTAAATTGTAAGGACGTCTCAGGCGGGAGCCGTTGTTGTTGTAACCCGGGGGCCAGGGGGCCAGTTTGACCAGGAAGACTTTCCTTGTCAAAAAACAGGGTGCGAACGTCGAGGGGCACACTTTGATTGAGAAAAAAAGTATGCACCGGTGAGGGGGGATCAACAATAATTATTCTTCAGAAGTGAGAATTCAACAACTATAACTTTAAGACTGTTCGCCCTTATATGCTCGAGTGTCCAATAACGCGTATGTCCCAAACCCTCGATGACCCGCCCTCTTCGTTTTCGATCGAACCTTTTTTGCGGGTAGACCTTTCTTCCCTGCAGGCCGGGCCCCGGCAAGCGGCGGGGCGGCCGCGGACCGTCGGCCTGGCAAGCGGCAGCGCTGATCGGCGGGGCGGCCGCGGACCGGCGACCCGACCCCAAGAGGGACGGACAGGGGACCGACCACGACGACGACGACGACGACGACGACGACGACGTCGAAGACGACGGCGACGACGACGACGACGGCGACGACGAGTGAAAGCGAGAGCGAGAGAGAACGACAGCAGGGCCACGAAGGGCACGAAGTAGGCCACGAAGGGCGACAGCGGGGACACGAAGGGAATGCGTATGGAGCCACGAAGAGCGCGAACGAGCGGGGGCCACGAAATGCAGATATTGCGGGGCCACAGAAGGCAACTATGGGGCCACTACGGGTAGCAACTGGGCCACGTAGGACAGTGAGGGGGACACACATGGCGACAGCGGGGCCACGAAGGGGATGCACATGGGGCCACAACGGTCGCGACTCGTGGGTGCCTGGATGTCGGGAGCGCGGCGCTTGGGCAAATTGCAGGAAATTCCAACGCAAGGCCATTCTTCAGTAAGTTGCAAGCAAGTCTCCAACGAGAGCGCGACTCCAGAGCGCCGGGAGAGCGATTCCTGAAAAATTTGTAAGGAAGTCCCAAGCGAGAGCGCGATTCCTGAATAAAATGAGAGGAAGTCTCGGGCGGGAGCGGGGGTCCTGCCTAAATTGTAAGGAAGTCTCAGGCGGGAGCCGTTGTTGTTGTAACCCGGGGGCCAGGGGCCCAGTTTGAGCATCAAGACTTTCCCTGTCAAAACAACAGGGTGCGAGCGTCGAGGGGCACACTTTGATTGAGAAAAAACAGTATGCACGGGTGGGGGGATCAACAATAATTATTCTTCAGGAGTGAGAATTCAACAACAACAACAACAACAACAACAACAACAACAACAACAACAACAACAACAACAACAACAAAAACAACAACAACAACAACAACAACAACAACAACAACAACAACAACAACAACAACAACAATTACAACAACAACAACAACAACAACTACTACTACTACTACTACTACTACTACAACTACAACTACACTACAACTACAACTACAACAACTACTACTACAACAACAACAACCACAACCACAACCACAACCACAACCACAACAACAAACACAACCACAACCACAACCACAACAACAACAACAACAATCAGTTTAAGACTGTTCGCTCCTATCTGCCCACGTGCCAATCAATACGTATATCCCGAACCTTCGGTACCCGCCCTCGCCGTCGTCGATCGTACCCCCTTGGGGTTATATCTTGCTTACCTGCCACGCTCATTTAGTACAGCCCCTAAAACAAGGCAATAAAAGACGGGTGGAAGGGGGAGGCCGAAGAATTTACCACGAGAGAAATCAGCAGGAGGGGGGCAAGGAGCAGAAAACAACTGGTCGAACCAGACGGGCAGATCGGGTGGGCAAACCCATAGCGGGCAGGTCGGGAAGGCGGGCCCAGGCGACCAGGTCGAGCAGGCGGGTTGCTGAAGCGTGGGTCCTGCATGAATCGCGAGGAAGTCTCGAGCGATAGCGCGATCCCCTAGTAAATCGTGAAAAACAAATCGAGAGCGTGGTCCCTGAGCGCCGAGGGCGCCTCGTCTGAATAAACAGAGATGACGTCCCACGCGAGAGCGCGATTCGCATACAATTTGTGAGAAGTCCCGCGCGAGAGCGCGATTTGGAAATAAATTGTGAAGAAATATCAGCGGTGCCAAGCAGGGTTGGGAGAAGTCAGCGAAGTCGTTGTGCCACTGCTTGCGAAGTGCTGCAATGTACCTGGAATCGTCTGACCGAAATGGCATTAGAAGTGGTGCTCGTACAATGCGGATGTCGTGGTCGCGAGGTCGTAGACTGGTTCCGCGTGCGGTGTGCCCTTTTTGACGACGTCGTGTGGACGGAGTCCCTCTGCTACGACTGTACGCACAAGACTGGGACGGTAAGAAAGACGCAAGCGGTAGAATTGACACGGGATGTAATCAAAGAGTTGTACGGTCACGGCTGGCCTCCTGTGGGCGAGGCGGGCGCGCTGCCACGACCTTCGATACGCCGTGGCTTCCTCCTCCTCCTCCACCTCCTCCTCCTGATTGGCCGAACGGCTGGACTGCTGGCCCGCCTGTATGACCGCCCGAGCCCCTGGCCGTGGCTGGGACTTCCTACCGCGCGGCGGCGTGCGCGCCGCATCGACGACACATCGGCGACGAATCGGCGATGCATCGGCGATGCATCGGCGCCGTCGGCGCGAAAAAAATCGGCCTCCACATCGAGCAGAATCGCCGATGAATCGGCCACGCGGAGCGATCCTCCGACTGCTCATGCTCCGACCACATCTGGGAGGCCTAGAATCTCCCCTGCCCCCACTACTCTTCAGCGCCCGAGGCGCCTTGGCGAGCTTCTCTGGCGTGAACGTGTCCATGCTGGCGGACGCCTCCACACCTGGCGCTGGGCCCCCGCTCTGGACCTCAACCCCCTCGCGCCATGACAAAACGTCCGGGGACCTACTGACCAAGGTCACTCCAAAGCAGGGCCAATCGGGCCTTGCAAGACCCTGCAAGATCCTGCAGGATCCTGCACGCATACCCGGATCAGTGCAGCCCTGGCTCTGCAGGATCCCGCAAGATCTGGCTCTCTGGCTGGCCCCCGTTTGCCTAGACCCCCGTCCATGCAGCCCCAAAACAGGACGGAGGGCTTGTCGCTGTCTCTGGCGTCTGGGGGCCTGTACCCGGCCTCGGGACCGGCGAAGAACGACTCGGGATGAAAAACAGTTTTTCCCGGAAAGGGCATCGGCCCAGGGTTCTCTTTTAGTAGGTAAACCTGTCCCCCGGTGCCAACTTGAGGGAGGCCGGCGAATTTTTTCCCGGAAAGGGCATCGGCCCAGGGTTCTCTTTTAGTAGGTAAACCTGTCCCCCGGTGCCAACTTGAGGGAGGCCGGCGAATTTTTTCCCTGATAAATAATGAGGTCGAAGGAGGCCGGCGAATTAAAATTTGAGGAAGTCTCGAGCGAAACGCTTGTTTTTGAAATCCCGATCGATAAATCACAGGGTGCGGGCCACTTTTTCGTGTGTTGAGGATGTCTCGAGCGAAACGCTTGCTCCGCAGAGTTTGCCGAGGATGTCTCGAGCGAAACGCTTGTTTTGCAGAGCCGACAGCGACGCGGAAAAGCGCCCCGCGCGAAGGAATTTCGATGATGTCTCGACTAATTCGTTTGTTTTTGTACGATTTCCTGGAATTTTGGCAGGATGTCTCTCGTGCGAATGCACGACCCCACCTAGCAACGGACCATACCCAGCAGACCACACCCAGCACGACCAAGACCCAGCACGACCCTCCACCCAGCACGACCCCACCCCAGACGACCATACCCCAGCACGACCACACCCCAGCACGACCGCCCCAGCACGACCCTACCCCAGCAGACCACACCCAGCACGGACCTCACCCCTGCACGACCACACCCCAGCACGACCCCAACCCAGCACGACCACGCCCAGACGACCACGCCCCAGCACGACCACGCCCCAGCCGACCACCCCAGCACGACCACACCCCCCGACGACCACCCCCCAGCACGACACGCCCCAGCACGACCACTCCCCAGCACGACCACTCCAGCACGGGACCACACCCCAGCACTCAGACCACACCCGCCCCAGCACGACCACACCCCAGCACGACCACACCCCAGCACGACCACACCCCAGCACGACCCGATCGATAAATCACAGGGTGCGGACCACCCCAGCACGACCACACCCCAGCACGACCCCACCCCAGCACGACCCCACCCCAGCACGACCACGCCCCAGCACGACCACACCCCAGCACGACCACACCCCAGCACGACCACACCCCAGCACGACCACACCCCAGCACGACCACACGACCCACCCTAGCACGACCACACCCCCAGCAGACCAAACCCAGCACGACCAGACTCCCAGCTCGACCAACCCAGCACGGACCCCACCCCAGCACGACCACACCCCAGCACGAACCCACCCCAGCACGACCCCACCCCAGCACGACCACGCCCCAGCACGACCACACCCCAGCACGACCACACCCCAGCACGACCACACCCCAGCACGACCCCACCCCAGCACGACCACGCCCCAGCACGACCACGCCCCAGCACGACCACGCCCTAGCACGACCACACCCCAGCACGACCACTCCCCAGCACGACCACACCCCAGCACGACCACGCCCCAGCACGACCCCACCCCAGCACGACCCCACCCCAGCACGACCATACCCCAGCACGACCACACCCCAGCACGACCCGACCCCAGCACGACCCCACCCTAGCAAGACCACACCCCAGCACGACCACACCCCAGCACGACCTCACCACAGCACGACCACACCCCAGCACGACCACGCCCCAGCACGACCACGCCCCAGCACGACCACGCCCCAGCACAACCACCCCCCAGCACGACCACCCCCCCAGCACGACCACACCCCAGCACGACCACCCCCCAGCACGACCACACCCCAGCACGTCCACTCCCCAGCACGACCACACCGCCTTGGTTGAGTGGTTGCCTGTCGTCGTGGAATGTTTCGTGGGGTGTCTCGTGGAATGTTTCGCGGGGTGTCTCGTGGAATGTTTCTTGAGGTGTCTCGCGGAATGTTTCGTGAGGTGTCTCGTGGGATGTTTCGTGAGGTGTCTCGTGGGATGTTTCGTGAGGTGTTGCCCCGATTTGGGTATCGTGAAAAACGTGCCCATGCTCCCACATGTCTATATCCTTTCCGGGTTTCGTGTTTGTTGCATTTCCCTGTAAATAACCGTCTCCCCAGAGCGTTGCGAATTAAAATTGAGGGATGTCTCGAGCCGAAACGCTTGTTTTTTGAAATCCCGATCGATAAATCACAGGGTGCGGGCCACTTTTTCGTGGGTTGAGGATGTCTCGAGCGAAACGCTTGCTCCGCAGAGTTTGCCGAGGATGTCTCGAGCGAAACGCTTGTTTTGCAGAGCCGACCGCGACGCGGAAAAGCGCCCCGCGCGAAGGAATTTCGATGATGTTTCGACTAATTTGTTTGATTTTGTACGATTTCCTGGAATTTTGGCAGGATGTCTCGAGCGAAATGCACGACCCCACCCTAGCACGACCATACCCAGCACGACCACACCCCAGCACGACCAGACCCCAGCACGACCCCACCCCAGCACGACCCCACCCCAGCACGACCATACCCCAGCACGACCACACCCCAGCACGACCCGACCCCAGCACGACCCTACCCCAGCAAGACCACACCCCAGCACGACCACACCCCAGCACGACCACACCACAGCACGACCACACCCCAGCACGACCACACCACAGCACGACACGCCCCAGCACGACACGCCCCATGCACGGACCACCCCCCAGCACGACCACCCCCCCAGCACGACCACCCCCCAGCACGACCACCCCCCAGCACGACACACCACAGTCGACCACTCCCAGCCACGACAACACACCAAAGCACGACCACACCCCAGCACGACCACACCCCAGCACGACCACACCCCAGCACGACCACACCCCAGCACGACCCGATCGATAAATCACACGGTGCGGAGCACCCCAGCACGAACCCACCCCAGCACGACCCCACCCCAGCACGACCCCACCCCAGCACGACCACGCCCCAGCATGACCACACCCCAGCACGACCACACCCCAGCACGACCACTCCCCAGCACGACCCCACCCCAGCACGACCCCACCCTAGCACGACCACACCCCAGCACGACCACACCCCAGCACGACCCCACCCCAGCACGATCACACCCCAGCACGACCCCACCCCAGCAAGACCACACCCCAGCACGACCGCACCCCAGCACGACCTTACCACAGCACGACCACACCCCAGCACGACCACGCCCCAGCACGACCACGCCCCAGACGACCACGCCCCAGCACGACCACGCCCCAGCACGACCACGCCCCAGCTACGACCACCCCGCACGACCTCCACCCCAGCACGACCACGCCCCAGCACGACCACTCCCCAGCACGACCACACCCCAGCACGACCACTCCCCAGCACGACCACACCGCCTTGGTTGAGTGGTTGCCTGTCGTCGTGGAATGTTTCGTGGGGTGTCTCGTGGAATGTTTCGCGGGGTGTCTCGTGAAATGTTTCGTGAGGTGTCTCGTGGAATGTTTCGTGAGGTGTCTCGTGGGCTGTTTCGTGAGGTGTCTCGTGGGATGTTTCGTGAGGTGTTGCCCAGTTGGGTATCATGAAAACGTGTCCATGCTCCACATGTCTATATCCCTTTCCGGGTTCGTGGGTCCATCATGTTGATTCGCGGGTCGAGAGCGCACCTCTTCTGGTCGAAGCTAAGCGGGCCGCGCGAAGCTTGAATTAACGAGGGACGGGGGAGGAAAATCGGGATGAAAAACAGGTACCCGAAAAGGAGTAAAGACCTCTGGGAGGCCACGTTGAGAAAAAATCATGACGTCGGGGATCGAGGGCCCCTGCCATGGGTCCTCCCAGGGGGCCCCTGGCGCGAGCTGGCAGGGGCACGTGTCCCCTGGATGGCTCGTCCCCGCCCAGCGGCCCCAGGGGGAGGAGAACGCTGGCCTCGAAGGAGGGGAGAACGGAAAGGAGAAGGAGAAGGGGGGAGAGGGGAGAGAATCGTAAAAACAGAACTACTTGGGCGGCGAGCCCAGGGGGGGAAGCGAGATGGAGCAGGCCTTCTCGGAAGGCGGCGGGGCTCCTCAGAGGCCCTCGCACCTCCGGAGAGGCTTCCCGAGCATTCCCCGAACACGGGGGCGGATCTGACAGGCTGGGGCGCTTCTGAGCAGCCTCGCCGCGCTCTGACAGGGCCTGCCCCCATCATACCTCCCCCCCCTTGGGATCGCCGCCGCGTGTGCAGAGACAGCCTTCCAAGGACCGGCGCGGAGGACTCTCTTTGATGAAGCACGGCGGTGGCCCTGCCCGGTGGCGCCTCCGACGCAGCCTCTGGCGCGCTCCGCTCGCCGGGGATAGGGGGGGGGCCGCGCCGAATCCGAGCAGTCCTCGCAGACCTCCGAGGATCTGGGTTCTGCAGCTTTCTGGAGCATCGCTTGACCGACCCCGTGCCCACTGGCATGGCCTGGGCCCCGCTGGCCGATGCACCCTCCCAGACGGGGATATAGGCTGCTCCCTGCGAGGGTTTCGAGGGGCACATCCCCAACTGGGGTGATGGGATGGTGGGACTGGGATACCATGGACCGGCGGGGATGGGGATGGGCTAAAGATGCCCATCGGTCGGAAGAAGCGGGTCGAGACATGAAGCAGGAAGGCATTGAAAGCAGATTGGGCTTCCCCCGACCCCTGGAGACGAAGGAAAAGGGAAAAAGCGCTCGCTGATTGAAGCAGGAAGGCGCCTGACGCAGACTGGGGCTTGGGCATCCAAAAATGCCTGCTTTCCACGACCGACGGGTCCCGACGTTCTTCCTCGGGGAATCCAGGCTTGGCCTGGGGTCGTCGTCCCCTGCCCAGGGGGCCGCCGCTGGGGCACCAGGTCGGTCGATGCTTCGAGACGGCATGCCGTGGGGGAAGGGGCCGCCCAGAACGTCCCCTGGCCCCCGACATCGGCTCTGCACTCCCGTCTCCTCCTCCTCCTCCTCCTCCTCCTCCTCCTCCTCCTCCTCCTCCTCCTCATCTTCCATCCCGAAACCCTCGCTCCTGGCGCCACAGGTCTCTCTCTCTCTCTCTCTCTCTCTGCAAGGTCGGGTGCCAGGGAAGCTCCCCTCTCGCCTGCAGTACGGCGCAGCGCAGAAAGGAGGACGGACGACACCCGGGGCAATCAACCTCCAGCACTTCACAGCTGCACGGAATCTGGTGGGCGCGGGCTGCTCAGGCGTTCATACATCCGAACGAACGGATTGCACACCGTAATCAACTAGATGAGTTCGAGAGGCGGATCGAGGTCTTCGCTGAGAGACCGTCTCCACTGTCCGAAAGCACTGTGGCCACCAGCTCGCTCGCAAGCTCGAGCTTGGCCCCTGGGACAAGAGTTCGCCGACTCCACTGGGGTCATCAGGCGTATAAGGCGTTCCCCTCGTCCCAGAACTTCTCCCCTGGAGCAAGAAGGTTCTCGTGTAAGCCCGAAGGGCACGTCACTCTGGGGCGTCCACAGGTGCCCAGGAGCACCAAGGTGTGTTGGGGGCCCGAAATGCAGGCTATAGTAGGGGCCCGACCACAAGAAACCTTCCACAAGAAACCCAACCCTGAGACCCCAGGACGTCCATAGGTGCTTGGTGTGGGAACGTCACGCCTTTCACAGCAAAACCATCGAAACCCAAGCAACCCAAGAAATCCAGGGCACCCTGGAGGCAAGCAGGTTGTTTCGTGGCATGGGTCTCCACAACACCCTGATTCGTTTCCTGCATGTTCGAATCCATGTGCGTCGCTCTGAATACTCAGCGCTTCCTGCTTCAAGCCACAGGCATGCCGGAAGCCTTCCGGGCGAAGCGGCTGGCCCACGACCAGCCAGGAAAGCCACGGGGCCGCGCCTCTCATGGCGTTGGCGGCGCAGCCAGTCACAGCTACGGGAAATCCCCAGCCCCACGACGCACGCCCGTAGCCCTAAGCAAGCGGTATTCTAGCCTTTGGCCCCAAAGGCCTTAAAGAAGACCGCGTTCTTGCCGGGAGCACCGCTACAGACGCGATGACTGGGAGCGAAGGGTGCGAAACGTATGCCCAACGGCAACTCCGAGAAAGAAGCTGAAGGTGCTGTTCCTTCCCAGCCGTGCAATCTACACACACACCAACACTTCTTGCGTCGGGGGCGAGGCAGAGGCTACTGCGCCAGCGGTCGGGCTAAGCGGGTCTGCCGAAGAGCGAATTGGCCAGCGTGCAAGAGGAGAGACTGAGACAGACAGGGCTGCCGCGGAGGACGAAGAGGGAGGAGGGGGGAGCACTCAGAGGCGGAATACTTCCGTCTTGAGTGCGCTGGCGCGGCCGGCCTCGGCAGCGGGGACCGTGGCAGCGGCCGCGCCGCGGCGTCGGTGCAGCCACGGGCGCCGACGAGGCCCCGAACGCGGAACGCAAAGGGCACGCACAGTGGAGCCGCCCAGGTGTGGGCCGACAAGGTGCTGCCAAGTGAGGGAAAGCACAGCGGAGCCGCCCAGGTGGGCCGACAGGGTACTGCAAGTGACGAACGCACACGCCAACTCGCGGCAAAGTGGCATCACGCCGTGCTCACACCGAGGGCCTGTCGTGCGGGGCGGCTACACAGCGGCCGGCGGGGGCCCGTCGGGCCCTAAGGGGCCTGCCAGGGACGGGCGCAGGGGCGTCTACCGGACGACCCTGGCGCCCGCACGCATGCCAGCGACGGCTTCTGGGGGCTCACCAGACCCATGGAGCAAGCCCCAGACCGAGGCAAGCCTGCTCAGAAAAGCGCACGTCAGCGAATATGATGTTATGCTGTTCCCATCGTACTTAAGGACCACATCCCAGAAATGATTTCGAGCACCCGGAAAAGTATCGAAACAGTGTCGGACGAGTATCGCCTCGCAGGGCCCATCGCGTGAAAACTCTCCAGTTTCGGTACTTTCTTGGTGCTCGAAATTCTTTCTGGTGATTCAAGCTAAAGTAGGTTGGAATACCATAAATCTAGTGTTGAATGTGTGTGCTGCCTCCTCGGTTTTCAGGCCCGACAATACAAGACGACCGAAGACTGTCCTTGGACACCCGAGGCCCAGGCGGACCCCAAGACGGCCAAGAGGAAGCCCAACATGACCTGAGCCGACCCGAAAATTGGCCCCAGGGCACAAGAAGGACTCAAGACAGACCCGAACAAATCCTAGATGGGTTCAAAAACAATGCCCTAGACGGCCCAAAGGGTCTCGCGAGAGTTCTTCTAAATAAAAACGAAAGCCCCTACAGTGCAAGAGGTCACCCGAGCAGTCTCTCAGAGCCCCCAGCGGACCCTCAGATAGCCAAAAAAAACCATACCAAATACATATAGCCGTCTGGTCGTGTTGCCACAAGGCGCTTGAATCGAAAGATCAGACAGCCTTTGGTGGTTACCGACTGCGGCAGAGCCCCCTCCCCGAAGCGTGCGGACTCGAAAGGGCAGAACGGTGCTTCGGCACGCTCGACTGCAGCACGCCCCCGCCTAGGATCTTCGAGATGAACTCGATGTCGTCACGCTCGATGTCCCTGATCACCATAATCTTCGCCTCAGGCCCCAAGCCGTGTGGCCGCGTCCCGTGCCGAGCCCGCCCGCCAACACCCGAAGTGGAGCTTCGAAGTCGTGGGGAGAGCCTGCTGTCCTCCTCATCCTCCGCTCCCCCCCCCCCCTCCACTCCACCTACCTGCGGCAGCCTCGTGCCGCGACGACCCCGGCGCCGGATTCTGACACCGCGTGGATCGCGCGACCCGGAACGATCGGCGGCTTCTCGACCGCCGGATCGCTCCACGTCGGCCCCGTCTGGGCCCCTGGCGGCGCTCCGCCTGGGAAGGCCCGTGGCGGGGCCGCCGCCGCATCGAGGCGACTCGAGCCCGTCGTGGTCTCCCAGCCCTCCAGACAGGCCCGATGCGGCTCGGAGCGCCGACCGACGACTGAGCGAACGGTGAATTCCGCCGATTGCGCCCAGTGGCACGTCTGGGCGTGCGAAACTTCAGCTGATAGGAGGCCGCGAGCGAACCCTACCCCACCACCCCACGATTTCAAAGGGGGAAGCGGGGTTCACCTCGCTCAGGAGGTCCCGAAGGAAGTGAACACCACCTCCGCCTTAGAACTCGTGGGGTAGTGGGGTAGGGTTCGCATGTGGCCTCCTAATTAAGCTGTCAGGTACGTTTTTTCCCGGAAAGGGCATAGGCCCAGGGTTCTCTTTTCCTATGTAAACATATCCCCCCGTGCCCAACTTGAAGGAGGCCGGCGGATTCATTCCCTGATAAATATCGAGGTCGAAGGAGGCCGGCGGATTAAAATTTGAGGATGTCTCAGGCGAAACGCTTGTTTTTGAAATCCCGATCGATAAATCACAGGGTGCGGGACACCTCAGCACGACCACACAGCACGACCACACCCCAGCAGACCACGCCCCAGCACGACCACACCCCAGCACGACACACCCCAGCACACCACACGCACGACACACCCCAGCACGACCCGATCGATAAATCACAGGGTGCGGACCACCCCAGCACGACACGCCACCCAGCACGACCCCACCCCAGCACGACCACGCCCCAGCACGACCACACCCCAGCACGACCACCCCAGCACGACCACACCCCAGCACGACCACACCCCAGCACGACCCCACCCTAGCACGACCACACCCCAGCACGACCACACCCCAGCACGACCACACCCCAGCACGACCCCACCCCAGCACGACCCCACCACAGCACGACCACCCCCCAGCACGACCACACCCCAGCACGACCACACCCCAGCACGACCCCACCCCAGCAAGACCACACCCCAGCACGACCACACCCCAGCACGACCAGCACGACCACACCCCAGCACGACCACGCCCCAGCACGACCACGCCCCAGCACGACCACGCCCCAGCACGACCACCCCCAGCACGACCACCCCCCCAGCACGACCACCCCCCAGCACGACCACCCCCCAGCACGACCACACCCCAGCACGACCACACCCCAGCACGACCACACCCCAGCACGACCACACCCAGTCGCACCCCCGTGGAATGTTTCGTGGGGTGTCTGGTTGAGTGGTTGCCTGTTCGTGGGGTGTCTCGTGGAATGTTTCACGGGGTGTCTCGTGGAATGTTTCGTGAGGTGTCTCGTGGGTTGTTTCGTGAGGTGTCTCCTGGGATGTTTCGCGGGGTGTCTCGTGGGATGTTTCGTGAGGTGTCGCCCAGTTGGATATCGTGAAAACGTGACCATGCTGCACATGTCTATATCCCTTTCCGGGTTCGTGGGTCCATCATGTTCCCGGAAAGGGCTCCGGCCCAGGGTTCTCTTTAGTTTTGTTAACCCCCGGTTTTGATTTGGGGAGGCCGGCGGATTCTTTCTGCGATGAAGAACAAGGTTTGAAGAGGGCTGGCGGAATATTTCTGAGGACGTCTCGAGCGAAACGCGGGTTTTTGAGCTTCTGCTCTATAGACAACGATGTAAAGTGAGAGTTTTCGTTTCTTGCGGATCTCTCGAGCGAAACGCTCGTTTTGCAGAATGTGTGACGATGTCTCGAGCGAAACGCTCGATTTTGTAGACTTCCAAGAACCTGGACGCCCAAGGATGCCTCAGGGGGCTCTGGGAGTGCGGGCGCAGCGAATGTACTAGGGATCGTAGCTTTGAGAGCGCGGCCGCAGCGTAATTTACGAGGGATCGCGGCCCTGGGAGCGCGGACGCAGCGTAATTTAAAGGGATCGTGACCCTGGGAGCGTGAATCCCGTGTGCCCTGTGGTCGCGAATCAAACGTGATTCGCTAGGTATTTAGGCACTGGGAGCGCGAACCCCGCATATTTCACGAGGGAGCGTGGCCCTGGGAGCGTGCATCCGTTGTAATTTACGGTGGATCTTGGCCCTGGGAGCGCGAATCCAAAGTAATTCACGAGGGGTCTGGGCACTGGGAGCGCGGACCCCAAGTGATGTAGAAGGGATCGTGGCCTTGGGAGCGTGCATCCAGTGTAAATTACAAGGGCTCGTGGCCCTAGGAGCGCGAACCCTGTGCAATTGACCTGGGAGCGCGAAACTAACACAACTTACGTTGGATCGTGGCCCTGGGAGCGCGGACGTAGCGCACTTTACAAGGGATCGTGGCCTTGGGGTCGCGGACGCAGCGTAGTTTACGACGGATCGTGGCCCAGGGAGAGCGGACGCAGCGTACTTTACCAAGGCCTGGGAGCGCGAACGTAGCGCAGTTTACGACGGATCGTGGCCCAGGAAGCGCGGACGCAGCGTACTTTTTCTATGGATCCTGGCCCTGGGAGCGCGGACGCAGCTTAATTTACAACGGATCGTGGCCCTGGGGACGCGGACGCAGCGCAAATTACAAGGGATCGTGACCCTGGGGGGCGGAAACATAGTAATTTACTGGGGACGTGGTCCTGGGAGCGCGGACACAGCGTAATTCACTATGGGGCGCGGCCCTGGGAGCGCGGACGTAGCGTAGTTTACTAGGGATCGCGGCCCTGGGAGCGCGGACGCAGCGTTCTTTACGAGGGATCGTGGCCCAGGGAGAGCGGGCGCAGCGTAATTTAAAACGGATCGTGCCCCTGGGCGAGTGGACGCAGCGTAAATTACAAGGGTTCCTGGCCCTGGGAGCGCGGACGCAGCTTATTGTACGATGGATCGTGGCCCTGGGGGGCGGACACAGCGTAATTTACTCGGCAACGTGGCCCTGGGAGCGCGGACGCAGCGTAATTCTCGGAAGGGCGAAGGCTCAGGGTTCTATTTCAGTAGGTAAACCTGCCATAGGTGACAAAATCGAAGAGGGCCTGCGAATCTCTTTTGCGATAAATGACGAGGTCGAAGAGGGCCGGCGAATTCAAATTTGAGGGTGTCCTGAGCGAAACGATTGTTTTGCAGAACTTTTTGAGGATGTCGAGCGAAACGCTTGTTTTGTGTTCTTGATCGTCCTCTCCTGGGTGCTTGTTTTCACGTGCCCAGGTCTTGAGGATGTCTCGAGCGAGACGCTTGGTTTCACGCGTCCAGGTTGCCCAGGCAGATGTCTAGCATGAGGATTTGTTGAGGATGTCTCGATCGAGACGCTTGTTTGCGCGTGTCCAGGTTGCCCAGGCGGATGTCTAGCATGAGGATGTGTCGAGAATGTCTTGAGCGAAACGCATATTTTCACGTGTCCAGGTCGCCCAGGCACAGCACAGCCCTCGGCATGGTACATCGAGATCGACACATTCAGCATTGCAACTTGGTACGTTCCCTGGCACGTTCTGTGGTGCGTCCCGTGGCGAGTCCCCCTGACACGTGGCGCGGCGAGTCCCCTGGCACGTCCCGCGGCACGTCCATTGGCACGTTCCGTGGCGTGTCCCCTTGGCAAGTCCCGCGGTGCGTCCCCATGGCACGTCCCCTGGCACGTCGCCTGGCGCGTCCCTTGGGACGTTCCGCGGCGCGTCCTCCTGGCATGTCCCCCTGTCAATTAGCTCTGGGGCAGCTACTATGTGCTCAGGCAGCTCGAGCTTAAGATCCAGATCAGTTCCGTCAGGATTCGGATGCAAAGGAGGACTCGATCCACAACGCTATAGAGCACAATCGCGGCATGGCACATCGCAATTCAGCACGGCGCAGCACAGCTTAGCTCTCGGCACGGTACATCAATATCGATACACTCAGCATTACGACCTGAAATGTTATGTGGCGCGTCCCGTGGCGAGTCACCCTGACACGTTGCGCGGCGAGTCCCCTGGCACGTCCCGCGGCATGTCCATTGGCACGTTCCGTAGCGCGTCCCATTGGCACGTCCCGCGATGCGTCCCCGTTGCACGTCCCCTGGCACGTCGCCTGGCGCGTCCCTTGGGACGTTCCGCGGCGCGTCCTCCTGGCATGTCCCCCTGTCAACTAGCTATTAGCTTTGGGGCAGCTACTATGTGCCCAGGCAGCTCGAGCTCAAGATCCAGATCAGTTCGGTCAGGACTCGGTTGCAAAGTGGGACTCGATCCATAACGCTATAGAGCACAATCGCGGCATGGCACCTCGCGATTCAGGACGGCGCAGCAGAGATTAGCCCTCGGCACGGTACATCGCGATCGGTATACACAGCAATGCATGTGCCCGTCGCCCAATCAGGTGTCATGCCTTACATTTCTAGATTCCTTTCCGGGTTCGTGGGTCGATCATGTTGTTGCAGCCTACGATGGGTCCACCTACGCGCGCACCGTCTTACAGGAGCGTCCTTTCCCCGCCTTAGGCCAGGATGCCTCCAAGACGACCGAAGAAGGTCTCTAAATCGCCACAGGACTCTTCCAGACTTCATCAAGACGCACTCAGACACCCCAGGGGAGTTCAAAAGGCCAAGGTGTGTTCCTGTGAACCGCCAGACCGGCATCGGGCTGCCCTGGGCGGCGTCCAGGCGGTCCAGCGAGCTTCTCAGACCCCCACAAGGGCGCAAACCAGCCCCATCACTCCCCAAGAAGGCCCATGGCTCGAATCCAATATCCCGAGGCTTACCCAAGGCGCCCTCAAGACTATCCTAAACAGTCCCAGCAGGTCTCCGTGAGACCCCGAGAGGCCCCGAAAACCACCCTGGAGGGTCATCAAGAACATCTTAAATTCATTCTGGAACCAACTCGGGATCATTGCGGACGCAGCCCAGTAGTTCTGGAGCTCCTGCTTCAGATGACCCCCTGAAACCAATGGGATACCCCGCGGGCACGGCGGTGGAACTGCCGCAGGCAAATGGCTAGAGCCATGATGGGCAACACACGCTGGAGTGTGTAGGCATCGCCTACACCCGAAAACGCTCAAAAAACTTAAAACCCAACCGAAATCCATGACCTCAAAAATCTATCGAAAAAGTATCCCAAATTGTTCACAATGCGAAGATCAGCCGCGACGAGCTGCGCGAAGGAGAGGCAGCGCCTGGACGCAGCAGCATACACAGCGGAGCACAGAGCAGAGGACCACGACCAGCTGGGACGTCCACAACGCGTGCACCAAGGCAACGGAAAGAACAAAGGATGAGCACCGGAGGCGTTTCCGGCGAGCGTGCTGCGACGAGGGGAAGGAGCACAGACGCCACAGGAGCACCAGCCGAAATGCAACGGTGAAGTTGGGCCGGCTCCAGCGTCGGAGCGCGACCTACTGACGACAGCGACGCAGGAAGCGCAGTAACAAGGGAGTCAACGCCTACTCCAACACGGTGCCCGTAGGCACATCAAGCAACAGACGGACAGAAGAAAGTGTTGACGAACGAGGGCCCTGCGGGTGCCAGAAGCATCTGCGAGTGCAATTCCGTGACCGCCCACTGTCTTGCCAGTGTAGGCACATGGAAGCATGGGACAGAACTCGCGCCATAGGTAACCTAGCATCAAGCACAATCCCACCAGCCCTCTGGGCTGAGGTTGTCTGTCACGTTCTATCGTCCACACTCCTTCCATTCGCCCTGCTCCACCTGACCGGGGGCAAACCAGGAGCCATGACCATACACCTCCACCATCCCTGTCAAAACAACAACAACAACAACAACAACAACAACAACAACAACAACAACAACCACAACAACAACAACAACAACAACAACAACAACAACAACAACAACAACAACAACAACAACAACAACAACAACAACAACAAAAAGAGTGCACGCTGCAGAAAATCTGGATTGTGCGCACGCACTGCGCGGACACTCTGCATTGCTTCTTGATGGGGACGACGGGGCATGGCGGATTGCCTGCGGCGCGCAGGCCCATCGCCCCTGGGAGCACAAAACAATACGAAATACACACTGTGCAAAATCTGGATCATGCGCGGGCACCCCCGCGATCACTTTGCGTGATTTGACAGGGACGATGGGGGTGCCCTGGCACGCGCGGCGCACCTCGCGGGCGTCGCGCACCTGGCTGGATTCTGCATTGGTCCCCGATGATTTTCGATGGCGCCCCTGCCCATGCTGAAACGCGGGTGCCTCTAGTCTGGCGCGAGGGCGGGTGGGAGTGAGCGAGACAGCCGTCTTCAGGGGGGCATCACACTGTGCGCCAAGATCTAAACCGTGGGCGGGCGCCCAGTGATTTCTCTGCACTGGTTTTTGACAGCAAGATTGTGCAAACACGTTTCAAAACACAATGCCAATTACACTGGTTCCAGATTCTGTCTGGGCACGCACCTTCAAGGAAGAACGAGGTGTGAACTGATGACGGTGCTTCGGCGGGCACCGCCCTTCTCACTGAATGCTCGGCACTGCGCCTCCGAGGGGGCATCTTGCTTCACTGAGGAGAGCTCTAGCGACGACAACACGGGCAGTGAACACGCGCACGAGACATCCTGGCAGGGTGACGGGTGTTTCTCCTTGAGATGGGCGGCCTGGCGTGGCGGAGGGCCACCTGACCCCAAGCTCCCAACTCCTCCTCCCCCTCCTCCTCCTACCCCTCCTCCTCCTCCTCCTCCTCCTCCTCCTCCTCCTCCTCCTCCTCCTCCTCCTCCTCCTCTCCTCCCTCCTCCTCCTCCTCCTCCTCCTCCTCCTCTCCTCCTCTCCTCCTCCTCCTCCTCCTCCTCCTCTCCTCCTCCTCCTCCTCCTCCTCCTCCTCCCTCTCCTCCTCCTCTCCTCCTCCTCCTCCTCCTCCTCCTCCTCCTCCTCCTCCTCCTCCTCCTCTCCTCCTCCTCCTCCTCCTCCTCCTCCTCCTCTCCTCCTCCTCCATACGTACCCGCTCGCGGCCTCTCCTGCCATGATACTGCAAAACGGCCACGCTCGAAAGCCTATCACAGCGCCCTGTCAGCCTGGGGCTCACGAGGCCGCCACGGTTCGGAGGAGGGGAGGAGTGAGGAGGAGGAGGAGGAGGAGGAGGAGGAGGAGGAGGAGGAGGAGGAGGAGGGAGGAGGAGGAGGGAGAAGTAGGGAGGAGGAGGAGAGAGAAGAGGAGGAGGAGGAGGAGGAGGAGGAGAAGGAGGCGGTGGATGAGAGGAGGAGAGGAGGAGGAGGAGGAGAGGAGGAGGAGGAGGAGGAGGAGGAGGAGGAGGACGGAGGAGAGGAGGAGGAGAGGAGGAGGAGGAGGAGGAGGAGGACGACGAGGACGAGGAGGACGAGGAGGGAGGAGAAGCGGAGGGGAACTCATGTGGATCGGGGCCGCAAGCTCGGATGCTGCCTATGTGTCGGGAAGGCGGGTAGGAGTGAGCGACACGGCTTGCGACTTGGAAAACCTTGATCAATCTCCCTAATGAAAAATCACCCCCTCCCCCGCGAACGCGGAACCAACCATCCGTATCAAAACTTACACAAAAACACTTCCCGGCAAACTGTGAATCATGCGCGGGCACCAAGCGATCACTTCAGGGACGAAAGGGAGACCAACCTATTGCCTGCTGCGAGCAAGCCCATCACCCCAGCCAAAACAAAACAATACGGAAGACACTCTGCAGCAGAATCTGGATCGTGCTCGTGCAACCCCCGATCAATTGCGCTCTTATTTGACAGAGATGATGGGGCTGCCCTGCCACGCGCGGCGCACCTCGCGGGCGTCGCGCATATCGCATTGATTCCCGATGATTGTCGATTGCGGCCGATACTCGTGCTGAGACTCTGGTGCTAGCTACGTGATAGGAGGGGGGGCGAGAGTGAGCGACACGGCAGTCCTTCGGAAGGGATAGCTTGATCAAATTTCCCTCCTTGATAAATTCAAAAACAGCCCCTCCCCCACCCGACCGGCAGCCAACACGCACCCATGAGACCCATGCGGGCACCTCCCACACCATCCCTAACAAAAAAATATAAAATACACTTTGGCTCCAATTCTGGATCGTGCGCAGGCGCCCAGCGGCCACTTTGGCATGGTTTTTGACAGTGGACGGCGGGGGGACCGGCGTATTCTTGCTGCGCGCAAGCCAACACCCCCCAACCATCCCTGGCAACAAAACAATACCAAGTGAGCTTTGCACCAAAATCTGGATCATGCACGGCCGCCACGCGATCACTTTGCATCGGTTTTCGACTGGGGCGGCGCGAGGGGCAGCATACTGCCTGCTGTGTGCGTTCTCAACACCCCACAGCCACCTCTTGTAACAAAAAAAACCCGACAACATGCCATGCACTCTGCACCAAAATCTGGAACACGCGCGGTCGCGGACTCCCCGCGCTCACGCTCTAATCGTCGCTTCTGGTATGGACGGCGCGGGCGCCGGCATACCGCCTGCCGCGTGCAGCCCAGCCATCCCTCTCAAAAAGGGGGGAACAAGCTAGCTCATTTCGCCAGGGACGGCGGGGGGGGGGGGGGGCGGCATGCTGCCTGCCGCGCGCAGGCCCTCCAACCAAATGCGAAACGATCGTGGGCGCACACCCGCACACAGCAGGCCGCCGTCACTTTGCATCGGTGTTCGACGGGAGCGGCGGGATGGTCGGCACATCGCCCAGTGTGGCGCACGCAGCGCAGCAGGCATGCGCGGCGCGCCTCGCGGGCTTCGCGCACCTGGCTGACGTCTGCATCGGTTCCCGATGGTCGTCGATGGCGGCCCCTGTCCCTGCCGACACTCGGATGCTGTTTGTGTGTTGGGAGGGCCCCCTCCCCCCCGCCTCCTGTGTCTGAACGGAGGCGGGCTCTAAGTACAAGACCAATGTGACTCTAAGATGGCCCAAGAAAGTCCAAGATGGTTTCTAGGATGGTACAAGGAAGCTCAGCATGGCTATAGGCCTCCGCGATGCCTCCAAAAGGCTCTAAACCCCAAAAAAAAACAAAAACAAAAAAACTACCCGGGGGGGGGGCGGTTTCCGGGGGCCCACACTTAAAAACACGACAACGTCTGAACCCACCCCCCATTCTAAAGAACACAAAAAAAAAAAGAAAAAGGGCAAACCCCCCATTGGGTTTTTCTGTTGTTTTTTCTAAGAATTCCCGGAAGCGACCGGGCAAAATCCTCCAAGTCGCAATTCGGGATACCCCCGGGAATCCCCCATCTGCGGTTTTGTCTGGGTTTGCGGTTTTGTTCTTGAGTTTTTCCAATGGGGAAACCTCCGAAAAAAAACCACAACTCGGGAGTTTACGGGAGTTGTTCGAAGGGCTCTGGGGCCCCACCATTTAAACAAAACTATTTCATTGTAGTGGCCGTCGGCCAGTGCCGCCGATCCGGGTCGCTCGGTGTTATTCTCCAGACGCAGACATTATGGGCGCACACTCAAACGCACAAACTTCTCGGGTTACCTTCGAAAGGGCGTAGGAATGCAGTTGGGTCAATAGAGCCATCTCGCAACAGTGGTTCTATCAACGGCGGGGTGTTTGCAGTGACCGTGGGGACGGGAAATAATAATGACATGAAAATTCCATACAGGATGCCGATCACTTTGGAAACTCACGATACGTCGTGCACGGAGTCGTGTTACGAAACATGTGGCCTGGACGATGTG